TATGCGGGTAGTATTTGTATACAATCCAAGGATATACAAAGAAAATTTTCATAACGAACATGAATTTATTTTTGACTGCTATGTTATTTTTCATTTTTCTTTCAACTTAATAGTAAAATGAAAAATATATTTTTGTACTATGTCTGTATATAAGTCAATCATTCATATTTCATATAAGTATTTATACTAAAATAAATATGTAATGAATTCATAGACAATCATTACAGTTTTCTTAATGGAATTTTAATTCAATTGCCATTTAATACAATAATAATATTATTACTAAAACTATATAACAACTTCACTTTTTGTGCATACTGAGTAGCGCGAAACAAAAACAGAAATTTTAACACATGTACATTTTGAAAACTATATTATATAAAAGTACAAAATATTTACTTAGTAATATTTATACATAACAAATGAACAACAATATCCAATATTAAAGAAAATATCAAGGACGAAAACTTAAAATCTAACAAGTTTTTCTAAATTTCACGTGAATTATCATTATTTATTATTTCGGAATAATATGAATCGTTAACTAAATTAAACTAAAATCGGTCACGCAAACAGTTCTTTAAAATTTTATTATTATTGATTTAAAATCTTTCTTTTACATAAACGCAACACGAATTGCTACAATTAAAAATGATTACGAATTTCAAAAAATTACAAGACTCAGATAAAGAGTATATAGAAGGAACAAAATTTTTTAAGATGATAAAATCCGAGTTTTTAAATAGCAACACCCTAGAATATTTCCTATTACATACATATATTATTTGTTTGCACATATTTAAAAACTTTTAACAACTTTTATTGATGCGAAAGAACTAGTGTTAATTTGAATAATCAACAGAAAATAGTTAAGAAAATAGGTAAGAAAAACTCATTTATGTATTTATTATATATGGTGCTGAGATACAGAAATTATTTTTAGACTGACTTCGGAACATATGCATGTATGTACAAATTTTCAATTCTTTGAATACTCATCTCTATTTTAATATTAGATGATAAGTAAACAGAAATTCCTTGTAAGTTAGATGATAATTGCTTTTTTTTTCATTTGTATGTTGTTGTGCTTAACTTGAACAGTTGAGTTCTCATATCATTCTATAGTGAAAAAAAATCTTAAATACTACTTATCAAATCATACTTATCAAAATATACATATATGTATGCGTACATACATATTTACAATACATTTCACCAAAATTAATCTCAGATTCGACAAGATTTAGAGAATTGTCTGAACATAAATTTGAAAAGAGTTCAGCTAAAAATTCAAAAGTTTTCCCAATTTTTCCTTTTAAAATAAAATTTTCTCTTTAAAAATTACATCTAAACAAATATTACTCAACATAATTTATTACCAATATTTAGTTAACAACAAGGCAAAAATTTTATTCATCAACGTAACTACTGCCAATATCTTTTACAGCCTTGCCGAATACCGACATTCATAAAACATGACTAGAAGTAAATTCATACATATGTTTGTGTGTATCTTTAATTATTTGATGTTGCTTAAACCAGGTAGGTACTCTCCAAAAAAAATTTCAAATTCTCCAATTACAATTGAATTATTAAAGAAAAAAAAGCTCCACTCTACTTTAACAAGTATATATATTTGTTTCATTTCCTCTTTAAGTCACTTTTGTAATACTAAAAAAAAACATTTTACTCATTCAGGAGAGTTTTTATAACATCAAATTATTAAAAGAAAATCTCTCACACGATATATTTAATAAAGCTTAAACATTACTTTTATTTCATAATTTTCTAGGTAGACAAACGCCGGTAAAAATGAAATTCAAAATTAGAATAAAAAATTCTATAATATATATTATTATGTGTGTATTATTTGAATTTACCATTGATGGATATAAATATATATATACATATCATGTATACGAGTGTATCCAGTGTATGAGTTATAACAACTTTTTGCATGTGTGTATTAATGATTGTTACGTTTACGTATGACATATGATAGATAACTAAGCAATAAATTTCAAGGTTAATATTAATGTAAATGCATACTTTTAATTTTTTAAATCCATACATACAACTACGTACATAGCTACATCCATATACTTTTGTAGATGCATTATCGGTATATCTACAAACATACGTACATATATTTTTAATAATGTTTTGCAGGTTCATCACAATTTACAAATTAAAATTGCTCTTTTAAATATATTTATTTTGTATTTATAGGAACAAGAGCTTATCGGTAGAGGTGGTCGCTACCGAATAGTTTTATTTATCGCCATTGGTGATTTTAAAAATCGATAGCTCATTTTATACCTATTAATTAACTTTTTCATAATTTCGGGTAATTTTCTGGTCGTTAAAAACTGTACATTTTAAAAGATTGCAGGTTAACATTTGACAATTATAGCCGTAACATAAACGTTCAAAAGTTTGGTCATACAAACATATTAAAAAAAAAATGTATGTATGTATGTATACTTCTTATCACATAATAACGTTTGGTAAAAGCTAAGAGAATTTCAAAAATGAAATATTGCAGAAACAATGTAATGCGCTATATTACAAAAATTTTGCAATGTTTATGACAAGATAAGCAAAATTTTTATGAATATACATACATACATACATAAACATAGTATAGTTTTTGCTACATATCGCGATATATTTCGTCTATGAATTTTATAAATTTTTTATTGGACAATATATTGTTAAACTTCAAACCTGATTAGTAGAGTTAATTTGATCGTTGTTAAAATCTTCTATTGACTATTTTGCGATTGTTTGTTTTTGATTCGAATAATTATTTTCGAAACTAAGATTATAGAGTTGCTTACTACATACTTATAATCTCTTTTTACCACAGATTACGGTTTTTTCATTAAAAAATTATTACAGCAGCAACTACTCTAATACCCAGAAACAATTATAATAAACATCCTTATCGGTACTATATTTAACCATTACCTACATTTTTGCATTGTTATATACATACATACACACATACATACTTACATTACGTATATTGCTTTATATTCAATTTATTATTATTATTTTTATAAAAAAACAAGCTATGTTACTCTTTCTTACCAATAATCTCAATAAAATATTTACTGCATATTTGTGTTTTATGAGAACAAGTGATTTTCTGTAAAGGTAGTAATGTGTGTATCTAAGTTTGTTGCTCTTTTCTTATTTTTGTCAATACAAAGTATTATTCTATCCACTTTTTACAGCTTTGTAACCTCAATTTGACATTGTAAATTATTCTATCAAACGTAACTGTAATTGTTGTTTCATTACAACATTTATAAAAATTTATTTTTCATAATGCATTGGAAATTAAAATAAAAACTTTGTAAAGAAAATGTTATTTTAATTTTATTCATTATTTTCAAAAATATTTAAAATACTATATAATAATACCCGCGACATACTTGTACACACATACAGTATCACACAAAAATATGTGCGTCCATATATATTATGTGGGCTACACATGGGAAACCAAAAATTTTCTTTTATTTTAAATTTGATTTTTTTATAATGTCAAAATTAAAGAAATATTTTAAATAATAATAAATATATGTCAGTATGTACCTACATACTAGCAAAAATATTTACATACGTATTTTATGACGTTCTACTTGCGTATATCGGCGAATTTATTTATTAAAATTGTTTTCTTTTTGAATCACACTCGTTCATGTGATATAAACGTGTTTCGAAAACAAAACAAACAATAAGATTTTTGAAAAGATATTAAACTTAAAACATTTTAATGAAAAATTTAGGATTTAACAAACGGAAGTGCAACAATCAATTATTTATGAATATTTTTCGTAAATTAAAGCGATCAAAACTTGCGATCATATTGAAATCATACATGATATATCTATAATCCAAGTAAATAAAAGCTTAAAGAAATAGCTTCAAGCAGCAGCATTTACTGAAACTGCAAAATACTGAAAAGCCAGAAACGTATTTGCGAAATTTTAACCAGTCTTAAGTTTACAACGCATTTGTGCTCATATTTTGTAGCGTAATAATTTCAGGTTTATTCATCTTTTCGATTCTTTAAACTGAGCTCGCCTTTTCAGATTAAAAAGCTCTAAAAGTCTTGTATTAACCGAAAACGTATTTTGTTGTTTTGTCTGTTGTCAATAAAACTGTTATTTTTATATTCTGGGTTTTCTCTCAGTTTAATTCGTCTGCGTTCAGTTTGCGTAATAGTCTTTTATATTCATAATTTTATTTTTGAAGATATTGAGTTAATTTAAGTTTAAGACTCACATAAATTTATTTAGCAGAATTATAGTCATGCGCTTGTCAAAAAATAAACTCTACTCAGTTATAAATAAATACTTAGATAGTTTGTAAACTATGTTAGATTAGATGGCTTTACAAAGGTACACAAAAATGCAAAATCTTTACTTAGGTGAAAGATACAATCTATGTTTTTTTATTATTTTTATGGTAACCAAGTTTTTATGGTTTTAATCAGAAAGTAAATAATTTTAAAATTTTTTTAAAAGCTCAATAATTTTTTATATTTTGCAACTAGTATAATCATATTTAAGGGTTTCCTCTTTCATTTTCAGAGAAAAAATTTAAAATTCCTGCGATTTTCTGCCACTAAATGGCAATTTAAAAGAAAATCAGAAATTTGTTTGCTATAAAACATTATCTAAAAAATTACTTTTTTTCTTTCATAATATACATATGTAAATACGTATGTGTGCACGAATGTCAGATAAATCAACACATTCACACGTACTCGTACTCAATATAAAATAATTTCTAAAAAACTTCCGAATCACAACAATATTGTTTTTTGTACATAGTATAATCTACCTACCGATTTTCCATACCCCTATCTACTTTGTATATAAAGTGTATAATATAACCTATAAATAAAATATTTTTACTCAAATAAACCATATAGTCGTCTCTTTCTAATACATCGTATCATATTCTATAGATTCTATATTATAGAAAATTCAGTTGTCAGTCTTCAGTTATACTTTATAACAAGCTAGCTCGTATTGCTTTCTAGATAGAGAAGAAAAACACCAGCCAAAAAAAGAAATTGATATTTTTTTTTCTTTGCTTTTTTGCATTTACATATAAAAAAAAAAGTTTTTTAAAATATATTTTTAATTAAAAAATTTGCTAGTATTCCTTTAAAATAATTTATAAAAAATATTTGTTATTGTTTTTGAATAAAATTTATTGAAAAAAAAATTTTCCAAAATGTCAAGAATTTTATTGAAAATTCCAAAAGTTGTTCTACAACAACAAAAACAACAAAATGTACATTTAATCAATACAACGAATGCTGCCAACTCAAAAATTAATTCTACAGCTGCAATGAGCTCATGGTTTCAACATGTGGAAATGGGTCCACCAGATGCTATTTTAGGAGTTACAGAAGCATATAAACGTGATCAAAATCCAAATAAAATTAATTTAGGTGTTGGTGCATATCGTGACGACAATGGTAAACCATTTGTTTTACCAAGTGTACGAAAAGCTGAAGAACGTTTAATAAATAAAAAATTGGATAAGGAATATGCACCAATTGCTGGTTTAGCAGATTTTACAAAACATGCTATTGAATTAGCTTTGGGTAATGATTCCGTTAATATAAAAGAAAAGAATAATGCAACTGTACAAGCAATTAGTGGTACCGGTGCATTACGAGTTGGTGCAGCTTTCTTAAATAAATATTGGAATGGAAATCGTGAAGTTTACTTGCCAACACCATCATGGGGTAATGTATAAATAGTTAAAAAATTTTTTTTTATTTTTATTCAAAAAAAATCTTTTTACTTTTATGAGAAGGAATTAATTCTAATCTTTTGCATTCATTAAATTTAATCAAGCACAATATAAAATTTTTATTTTAAATATTACTAATTAAAGTAAAATAATTTTTGTGCATTATGTCACTGAATCTTAAAACAGAGAAGAAGGTGTTAATTAAATGAAGGGAAAAATTGCATTCATGATTCTAAAAGTCTTTCCACTTCAAATTTACCCACGTAAAAAAAAAGTTCTAAAAGGCAAAAAAAAAAAAGTACCCTACTATAAGTGTGTAATTTAAAGATGTGTTTGTATCGCATATACGTATACAATATAAACATTCGTGTAGTGAATATTTTACTGCCCATGTGTTCCATATCTCTATTTGTATAACAATAGGTATACTCAAAAATATAATGCAGCATAAATGCGAGAATTTTTATTTCAAAGAGTTTCACATAATATAAATTATTATTGTATAGAGAGAAAGAGAGAGCAACAATATAAAAAACAAACAAAAAACTTTCATGCGATATTTTTATCCTTTGCTTTTTATCTCACGATACAAATAAATTCTTTGCAAACATTTTTGTCAGGCAATGAACATATTTTATACAGAAATTATATTTGATAACATGTAGATATATTATAAAAAGGAAAGGTATGTGTACATGTTTTCTGAGAAAATATTTTTATCATTATTTTAATAAATAATAAAATAAAAAATAAAATTTTATTTAAATATTTAAATATTTTGTCGCAAACTCTCTTTGACAATTGCAAATTTTGATTAGTTTTACACATTATGTATGTATATCATTATATATTACGTACATTCATGTATGAATGTATGTATAATTAAATAATTTTTGTAATGAAAGAAATTGATGATGAGCTTTTGAAAACTATTTCTAATTAAAGCATTTTGAAGAGTTGATTTGAAATACTTATGTATTTATTATATGTACATAAAGATTGCAGTTTTATAGGTACTACAAATTAATTTCACGGAATTATTGCTTTAACATTCATAAAAGTGCATTTTTTCTCATACTGCTTAGAATTACTTATTAACAATAATCTTTATAGTTTAATTATTTTATTCGCTACATCATCATCAATAATAAACCTTTAAAAGAAAAATAGACGAGTTTCTTGCATTTAACTATTTCGGTTTTGAAATTACAATTTTGCGATTGTATGCAAAAACGTATGAAAAAGTAAATATTTTCTAATTTGCTATATTGTGCATTTAGTTGCGTAAACATACATGAAATAGCTTCTGTTGCTATAATTAAAGTTCATCTAGAATGCAATCTAAAAATTTTAATAAACACACAGCAGAAAACAAAACACAAGCAAATCGCATCACATTATTGTGTTTATCTATTTGAATCAAGGTTTTTAAAACATTATGCTTGTTTTTCAATTGTTTTATTATTTTCATTTAATAATCTACAATAGAATGTTCTATCTTTTTCTGTTCAGAAAATACATTATAACTGTTTCTTATTATTTCTTAAAATAATTTGTGATGCAATGAGTTAAAAAAAGAGTATGCACATATTCACAAAATTTCAGTGAGTATCAATCAATAGTTGGTATTGAAAATTCATGTTTTATTAGAATAGAAAGAAATTCAAAGCCAGATTTAATCTATGATTGATTGTGATGAAAAATAAAGAATACATTGAAATGATTAAAAAACACATACATTAGTTACTTTTTATTACTACTCAAATATTATGATTTTATATTGCAAATGCATTGATAATATTATGACGCTAAATAAATATACTGCAATAATGAAAATTGTTTATAGAAAAAGAAATTTTCTTGAAATAAATTTTTTTGAAAAATTTGCGAATCATAATTTGCTACTTATGTTAGTAATTAATATATTTATTTTAGAGAGGCGAGTTTGGAGTAGTTGATATAGAATAGAAACCCATAGAATTACTTTAAGATTGTAATTAATATTTTTTTTAATGTGCTTGTAATTAGCGTATACCGAGCGCCAGATTAACCATATATGCAAAGTAAGCATCTGTAATGGATGCCGGAAAACAGGTGCTTGAACACTTAAAAAAGAAAATTTTATACAAAAGTTGCCAAACAAAAAGCTGAAAGTTTGATTTCAGGCTTTAATTCTATAACTAAACTTTTATTCAGCATAATAATGTTACAAGAAAGTTATTTACTATCCGCAATGTGCAATGTTCATTGCCTATTGTTAATTGATTTTTAAACGGGGGGGAGGGTCACAGTGGTGCACTTTTTGGAAACCTCATAGGGCACCGAACAAGTTAGAGCCACGCCTGCGGTATACACGTATAAGTAACTACATTTATATTATTCTTGTGAATACTGCCAGGATAAAAATTACGAAAAAATTTCCTTTTTTTTTATCCGTGATGGTTTTGAATGCTTAGTAATTCTACACACAAGCATGTTTTTAAATCATGTTTTCCAAAGTTATTAAGTTTGGTGTATTTATTAAATATTTTTTTGTAATAAACTAGATAATAGTACGAAATAAGAAATTAGTTAAATGCTTACCAAAACCAATTATTTGCTATTTTAAATAATATGGAAAAATCCTTTTCATTACCTGAAAAGAAAAATCTTAAATAAGTTTTTATGTTCTGTGAATGAGTTTAAAATAGCTTTCAAATTTTTCTACTATAATATAAAAATATTTCAGTAAAAATTTAAATATTTAGTTGTTTGATTAATTAAACTAATAATAATAAATATTTTTTAAAGGTAATCACACACCAATATTCCAACATGCTGGACTTAAAGTAAACAAGTACACATATTATGAACCAAAAACATGTGGTTTAAATTTTAAAGGAATGTTAGATGATATTAATAAAATGCCAGAAAAATCAATTGTTATGTTACATGCATGCGCTCATAATCCAACTGGTGTTGATCCAACATCAGAACAATGGAAGGAGCTATCAAAAGTAATGAAATCGCGTAAACTTTATCCATTCTTTGATATGGCATATCAAGGATTCGCTAGTGGTGACGTTGCACGTGATGCTGCTGCTGTACGTATATTTGAAAATGATGGACATAATTTTGTCTTATCACAAAGTTTTGCAAAAAATATGGGTTTATATGGTGAAAGAGCTGGTGCATTCACAGTAATCTGCTCAAATAAAGATGAAACTGATCGTGTCATGTCACAAATAAAAATTTTAATTCGTCCAATGTATTCAAATCCACCAATACATGGTGCTAGAATTGTTAGCGAAATTTTAGGTAATGATGAATTAAAAACAATTTGGTTAAATGACGTTAAAGGTATGGCAGATCGTATAATTGGCGTAAGACAACAATTAAAGGATAATTTAGTTAAATTGGGATCAACAAGACCATGGGATCATATTACCAATCAAATTGGTATGTTCTGTTTTACTGGTATGAATGCACAAAATGTTGAACGTCTAACGAAAGAATTTAGTATTTATTTAACGAAAGATGGTAGAATATCAATGGCTGGTGTTACAAGCAAAAATGTTGAATATTTGGCAAAGGGTATGCATGAGGTAACAAAGTAAAATTGACTTAATTATACAATTACTAGGAAAGAAAAAAGAATTATTAAGATCAAAAAGAGCATAAATTTTTAAATATTTATAAAAAAAATCCCCACTATTTCTTTTTTTCTGATATTCCATCATTATTAAAATTTGTTTGAAATTTGAAAAAAATAAATTTATTTGTTTTACGAATATATGTATATACTTAAGATTAAGAAATTAAAACCATTCTTGAACTTCATATTGTAGTAATAAATTCAGTTTAGAACTTTACGTAAGCTTAATTAAGCGAATTTTACTTAACCTGGATTTAAAATCGTATTATTGCAATATGGAAATCAAAGTATAATATACTTATTTAGAAAGCATTTCCTTATTAGGCATTTATTTATCTTTGTTGCACTAGAAAAATGTTAAAAATAAATTGCACATTTATATATATAATTATAAACGTTTATATTTCTTCATGCATATAAAAGTGAAATAAATATTAATTATTGATTAATTTTAAAACTAAAATTTTTAAGTTTTTATTTAAAGGTTTGTTTTAATAAATTAAATAATGATTGCAAATTGTATATTTTGACATGAGGAGACAATGCATTTCTATTGAAGCATTAGCTCAATAGTTTCGAGCACCCTATGAGTGGGATTGATTTCTCGTTTAAATTGCGTGAGCAATGTAGCCGCAGCCTCTTCCGCTTTTATTTAGAAAATTTGTAAGTTTTTTTGTTTTCAAAACTAAAATTCTTTGGGCTCCCTCAAACTCATTGTGGTTTTGTTTATTTCTCCTATTCGTTTTTAATATTTGTAATGATAGTTACCCAGAATCTTTTCATTTATCTGTCTTAACCCACCTCAATTTCTTCGAAATTTGGATTAGAAATTACCATCTTTCATCATAATGGAAAAATATTGTGAAAGCTAAAAATGTTTTATTCATATTTGTGTAAAGCAAATTTCATAGAGGGAAAAAAAAAGTTATATTGCTATATCCCGATGTTTGATTAAGATTGTAATTGATACTTTTATAAATACACACAAGGGCAGACAGATGCACGTTAAACTCTAATAATCGTGAAAAGAAAACTTTTATAATTTTGTTGAAAATGTACATTCAATTTAAAATATTTTAGTCTTAATAAATAAGTGATTGATTTACAATTAAAAGTTCTATTAGAAAGTACTTATAAAAATTTAAATTGACATTTTATTAGAACAATTTCGTTTCGTTAAAGTCAGGAATATGTTCATACATACATTTATTCTAACATAATAGTAAATAATACGTAACTATATATATATATATATATATATATACACATTATACAAGTATAATGTGTATATATATATACATATATATATTATACATTATGTATAAGTTTTAATATCTCAAGTTGCTTGTCATTAGAAACAATTAATTATTTGTGTATATTGGCATAGATGGGCAATATAAATTACCAATTACATTCTTACTTGGTTACCGTTTACGAAGAACTTATTTGTATACGTTTGTACATATGTGTGTATAAGGCAAACATATAAAATTTAATTTATTTCAATCAATTTTTTAAACATAAAAAATATATACTTGCGTCAAACAAATTAATAACGTTTTATTGGTTTTCATTTTATTGTTTCCTTTTGATTAGTACAATGTTTAAACAATTTATGTGAATGGGGAATAAACCTAATATATATATATATATGCCTAATAAATATATATATACGTATATATGCATAAATTTTAATAAAATATGTTATATTACACCTGCTTGTTGAAGTCAAGTATATACTCGTATCTTCTATATAAAGCTTATATAACAATTCAAAGGACATTACGTGGACATTAAGAAAAATATTGTAATCTGATTACAGATCAAATTTCAGATTCTCTATAAGTAATATTCATTTAGATAGCTCTCTTTTGGTTGTAAGAATTCTCATAGTGCATTTGAAAAATAAAAATTATACCTTAAAAAGACTCATAATATAAAATTATACTTCAAATTTCTTCAGGGTCAGAAAGGCAAACAGCTTTTGAAGAGTAAAATTTAATAAGTGATTAATTGATCATATTGAAGTTATTAGACACATTTGGAATTCATTTCAAGGTAAAACCTGGAAGGGTTGTACCATTTTTTACTTTTTTAATTAATTTATCTAAAAATTTCAGTTGCATCAAGAATCAAAACACTAAATAACCCTTTAATAAAAAATAAAAGCAAAAATAAAATTAAAAGTGGTTGTTGCAGTAGGCCCAAGAAATCATGGTATAAAATCACATTTTAACTTATGTAATATTTGAATTGTTCATGTTTTCGAAAATCTTAAATGTGCTCAAATGAGACTACTTTTTTTGAATATTTGATGTTGTGCCATTCGTAATTATTTTAGGAATTACTCTGGGAATTGCAAGATTTTGACACATTTATTTTAAATTTACCTATTTTATTAAAAATAGTAAGTATTTTTTACTAAAGGAACCTAACATATTTCATATTTAGCATACAAAACCTATAACATATATTTTTTACCATAATATTTGTATGTATACACTATAATTACTCATAGAATAAATTTATTAATTTCGCTCAAAAGTTAAAAGAAAATTTAATTCTTTTATTAATTTTAAATTTTGTGATTAGCTCTTAATTTGTACATATGCTAGTATATAAATACTTATATATGTACATATATAAACGAAAAGTACTTATAAGTTCATGGGTATTTGCATAGTCTTTTTTCTTAATTATTAATTTTATTAATTTTTCAAAAATTATATTATCCTTAAATATTTAATGTAACTGCAAAATGAAAATGTATTAAGCAAATATGTATGCATGTTTTTTTTTCTTATAGAATTTTTAAAAATAGCCAAGAAAATTACAAAAAAAAAGAAAAAGAAAATATGCAATAAAATAATGTTAAATTGACCACCACTGTCATCATCATAATTCATTCTTAATTCGTCTGTTAGTTCATTCATTCATTAAATGAACAAACAAAATTTCTATTCAAACATAAGGTTTTATAATGCCAAGCGCATTTAAATATGTATATTAGTAGGTATGTATTGCATTCATATACATAATATATATGTACATAATAAAGGTCAATATTTCATTTCAATAATTTTATTAAATAAAACTGATTCACTTCTCTTATCTTCTGTATCCACCTTTTTATAAAAAAGAAGAGCAAATAAATTTAAATTTTTATTTAACTTTATGCGATTAATTTACTATCATTGCGTATTTTCTCATGCAAATATTGTTGATGCACAATATTCATATATGCATTGGATAAATGCATACTAACTATATGCATTTTCATAACCTATATATAAGTACATACTTAATATTATTATTTTGTATTATAACACCGTTCACATCCAATGATTTATTAATAGAATGCAGATACATTCTGATGCTTATTAGCTTTGGCTGTCCTTTTTGAAAATTGCAATAAAAAATAAAATAAATAATACAATATGCATATTTTTAGATAAAAATGCTCGTGTATGGAACAAAACTATAAAAAGCAACACAAAAAAAAAAAAAATTAGCATCAATAAGGCCCCACTATCAATTCCCTCCCCTCGCTTCTACATTTATTTCACATAAATTTTTGTCTACATTTATTTGAATTTAAAAAAAAAATGCAAAAAAAAAAATTCTTATATTATTTACACAACAAAAGCGCCAATCTTTATTCTAAGAGTAAATATTGATATAGAAAAAGAAAATAAGAAAAAAATTTAAATAGTCGCCAGAATATTTCAATATTGTTCATCGGATTTTTATAATATCGGGCATAGACATCAAAATTTTGTTCATTTATAAAACGATTATTATAAAACTCATTTTTCTTTTAAAATTAAACGAAGTGATTGAACAAATACATACGAGTATATGTATGTATAGTTTTTCCAAATTTTACAATTTGGAAAAACTATATGTAGCAATTTATGTGGAAATAAGGTCCAATGATGCCAAAAGTTTGTAAATCGTATCAAATGGTTGTATTTTGTTAATATAATGCTCAAATGCAGCAAATTTTATTATAACTATAGCACTGTTTACTGAGGTAAAAAGGAGTCTCATCTCTGACCATAATTTTGTGATAGAACAATGTCTGACGATTTTTCGAATCTAAAGTTCAGACATGTACTGCATATTTTAAAATTTCGCAGTAGACTAAATAATACAGAATTTAATTTTCTATGTTTAAGAAATAAAAGGTTTTTGCTGATGTTATTTCGTTAAAGTAACTTTTCCCCGAAGTATTTTGTATATCTGGGTATAATCTGCAGCTTTATCAATATTATTTTGTTGAGATTTCATATTTAGTAAAAGAATAGATACAGTTCTTTTTATTAAGTACCCAAAATTTTATATGATACTTTCGTTTTTCAAAAATTACTTCATTAATTACTAAATTAGGTTTTCTATTTTTCTCTTCTTATTGAATTTACTAACTGAGAAGAGGGTGACTTAATGATCGCATCGATTCCACCGTCGCTTTGAAGATAATAATATGGATAAACTTCATCAAGTATTTCAATAAATAAAAACCAATCCAAGAACAATTCGAACATAAAAGTTACAAATTGTAAGTTGCACTTTTTATTTTGCCAGAAGCCGATAGCAAAAACATAAAACTCCCATTTTAACTGGATTATTGATAGAAGTCCCAGTAAGTGTTTGCTCATCTCGCATTCTGATACACAATATTACTTATAAGAAGTGTTCTTTCTAATGCATTTCTTAGCAACTTTTTTAACAAACTATAGAAATTAGCAGTTTGTTAGTGATTGAATTAGTTTACATAAGAACATGAAAATTTTCATCGATACCTTATAGTCAAAGTTTATAATAAAGAAAATTATTTGTTGGGTATTTTTAAACATATTTAAAAATAAAAATGCTTCTTTGGCTCTATATAATAATAGATAAAAAAAAAATTGAGGAAATGATTTTTTCTTTATAATGCAATAGCTGAATCATTTGAATTTCTATACTAATAATAAATTTCGTGTTTTTTTTTTTTAAATAATTTCTTATTAATGAAATTCAAATATAAAATCCAAGAAGTCATTTTTGAATTTTAAAAATAATTTCCATTTCAAAATTTTGAAAAAGTTAAGTAATTTCATTCCACGAGTGCATACGT